GGCGGGCCCCCCCCGCAGCCGCTGCACGCGAGGGCAGCATGGACAGGCTGGGCCCTGGCGCCAAAGCTGAGCTGCCCGGTGCCATGTCACCCAGGTGAGGGGACTCCTGCTTTCAGGGCAGCTGCCTTGGTGGGCACATGGGGCCTGGCGGGGATGGGCTGCCCTCCTGCACAGTGTCACCTCTCCTCGTTCTCCCTTGCAGCAAAACGGAGAGCAAGCAGCTGTGGCGGCCCCGCAGCACCTCTGTGAAAGACCGGCAGAGTTCAAAGGGACAGGGCGGCCGCACCAGCAGCCTGGACAGTGAGAGCTCTCCTGACTCGTGGCACAGCACCCAGGTCAGGCCCTGGCGGCCGTCTTGGCTCCCTTGCAGCTCCCCCAGGCCCTGCAGCTGGCAGCAGTGGCCAGGGCAGCCTGCCAGGGCTCACCATGGTGGCGGTGTCGTAGGTGCCCCGCAAGTCTGTTTATGATCAGCTGAACCAGATCCTGGTTTCAGATGAGCAGCTCCCGGAGAGCATCGTGCTGGTGAACGTCGCTGAGTGGCAAGGGCAGGTGAGTGGGCACAGGGGTCTAGGGGTAAGGGAACCCCAGTACAGGTTCCCCCTCTGTAAGGACTTGTGAGGGGAGGCTGCCACACACCACCACTGCTTCATTCTCCTGGGAGAATGCCCCCAGCAGTCCCAGAGAGCCAGCTAGCAAAATGCAGCATGTACCCTTGGTGCCGGGTGCCGTTGGCTGCATTGGTCAGGGCTGTGTGGGGTGCCCTGATAGAGGCCCAGGACTCCCGTTGCTGGTGGCAAGCCTTAGGAAGCAGAAGAGGTGCCACTCTGGGAGTGCACAGTCAGCCTATCCCCTCGAGCACTGGCAGGGTTGTCAGCTGCCCAATGGCATGCGGGGACAGCCAAAACCGAAGCATGCCCCTGCATACCCCATGCACGGAGGAGCTGGCTGCTGCGTGAGCATGACCGTGGATGTGTGTGTGCAAGTGTGCAAATGGCACTGGTGAGACCCCCCGCGCCCCCCGGCTTGCCGTCCAGAGGCAGTTCTGGAAAAGCAAGGCAGGGGTTGGGGCAGAAGCAGAGACCCCCCTGCGAGCGGTGGCAGAGCCCGTGCCCGAGCTGCAGGACCGCGGTACGCGAGGGCTGGCGCTCGGGGGCTGCTGCTGGCCGCGCGGCCCCGCTCAGCACCGCGCTCCGTCTTGGCAGTACGTGAGCGAGCAGCTCCAGGCCCACAAGCAGCTGGTCATCGCAACCTGCTCCGTGGCAGACATCCAGGCAGCCTTCAACACCACCGTTGCCCGCATCCAGCGATAGTGAGTACGGCTCGGGCCCAGCCTGGCAGGGTCTTGTGCTTGCAGGGAAGGGCTGGGGACGGGGGTGATCCTGACCAGGACCCTGAGGCCTGGGGGTACAGTGCTGAGAGGAAGGGAAGGCAGGAGCTCCCTGGACCGATTGGGGCCACCATGGTGCACAGCAAGCTGCAAGTGGGCACCAGGAGAGCTGCTGTGTGCAACTCTTGGGCTCCCAACACGTGGGCCACCATGGCGAGCCCCTCGGGCTCTCTTGTTCTCTTTCTGTCCTCCTCCCGTTCTTGCTTTTTCCTCCCTCTCTCTCTCCCTTTTGCAGCTGTAACTGTAACTCCCACATGCCTCCCCCAGTGAAGGTAGTCGTGGCAGGGGACCAGAGCTACCTGAGTGTCGTCCTCCGCTTCTTTGTGGAGCAGCTGGCCAGCAAGACACCCGACTGGCTCAACTACCTCCGCTTCCTCCTTGTGCCCCTGGGTGAGCCCCGCCACGAGCCAGCGTTGTCCCCCCTCGCTGCCCTGGGCTGCCTGAGCGCGAGCCAACGTGGCCCTTCTCACCTGCAGGCTCTCACCCCCTGGCCAAGTACCTGGCTTCGGTAGATAACAAGTACAGCACCCTCTTCCTGGACACGGCGTGGCGGGAGCTCTTCAGCCGGGCCGAGCCGCCCAGCGCAGGTGCGGAGCTGGGCAGGCCGGGGCCGGCAGCGCCCGGAACGAGTATTCTCAGCGTACCTTCGTCATTTGCTTCTCAGTCCTTAGGGCCTTATCAAGGTGGATTTCCCAGAGGAATTAAAGAATATGGTTTCAGATGTTTAAAATATGCGTGGTCTTGAGATAATGACAGAACAGTTGTCTCCAGTCTGTGCTGAAAGTATGTGTCACTTGTGTACTAAGTCTCCAAACTTGGTACAGCATGCACAAGTCTGTACAAATAAATGCAATTAATTATGCTCAGACAAATACCAGCTTCCAAGCAGGCCTCTATTAAAAAAAAAAAAAAAAAGAAAAACAGAACTTTTACAGTTATGTTTTCAGTGATTTTTTTTTGAAAACCTAGGGAACATGGTTGGTATTACTTCTGAGTTAATATTATATCGGTTGCTGAGAGTCTGTGAGATCACTTAGAAAACAGAAATTACTGCAGTTTTATTAAAAACAAGCAAGCAAACAAACCTTACGGTTGCAATGGAGAGGTACTGTAGCTCTCACAGCATTGTTTTTCTGTGCTCCCTTGTCCCCAAGGAAGATATGTATTGAGATAGACGTCATTGGTACAGATGCTGAGCAGCTACTTCCGGACATAGTGAGAATAGACTGTTCTGCAATTGTTTTTTAATGACTTATCAGGTGCATTTTTGACATAAGACAATGTTTTCTTACCATTCCATGTGGCTTTGAAAAGATATCCAAAATGTTTTTAATTTTACTCTTTTATTAACTTTTTATAACTCCTGTATTTTTATATGTATGTTTTTAATTGATTATGTAGTTTTATACTGACTTATTGTATTACTCTTCTGCTTCAGAAAAATGAGTTTGTAGTTGAACATCAATATATTTGGTAAATATT